AAAAAAAAAAAAAACGGTAGCATGGCCAACCAGGAACATATCACAGATGTAGTCAAGCCATACGATTGGACTTACTCGACAAAATACAATGGAACCATTCTGAGCAAGGACACGTCTATGCGCTTTCTTCCAACCACCACCGAATCAATCGATATTGAGCAACTAAAGAAGCCTGATCCCATTCTGTTTTACGACGAGAATATTCTCTTTGAAGACGAACTTGCTGACAATGGAACTGCTGTCTTGACCACCAAAGTTGTATGTATCAATATATATCATCACAATCGACACAGAACAGTGCTACTCCTCAGTCTGTTCCAAGTGCGGCATCTTTTACTCATTCGGGACCAAATCCCTGTTTTCACACCCTTTTTCTTTTTTTTAATAGCGAGTCATGCCATCCTGTTTCTTCATTCTGCTCCGCTTCTTTTTGCGTGTGGATGATGTCCTCTTTCGTATATATGATACACGCATCTACCATCACTTTGGTGCCAATACTTTGGTCAGGGAATGTTCGACGCGTGAAAGCTCCTACCGCGAAACGCGAGCTGTAAGTATTTGCAATGTCCCTTTTTTTTTCATCTCCCACAAAGTTTATAAAAAATGTTTCTGATGGTGACAAAGAAGGAAAAAAAAAGGAGGAAAATACACGTTGTTGTCTTGTCGATTATTCATCATTTTTTTTACATGTTTTCTTTTGATAATGTAGAGGATTCCACTGTCAAAAGGGGATGATCTTTCACTCTTACTTGACTCCAACTGGGTTGCATCACAGCTTCCAGAGAAGGAATCACAAGTCGAGGCGCTTTTGCTTTCTTCAACCTGAACCGACACACAGATATTATTCAAGAGTGGAAAATATATATATATATATTTGAATAAAAGTATACAAAGTAAAGAGAGGACGTTGAAAAACTTGAGGAACAAGAATTATGCTTGGAGATACGAAATTTCGAGGAAATAACTGGCGTCATGTGAAATCTGAATATCAGACTCCAGAAAATCGAATTCGAACATGAAATGCTTTCTTAGCTCAGTTGGCAGAGCGTCAGTCTCATAATCTGAAGGTCGACAGTTCGAACCTGCCAGAGAGCATTTATTTTTTCCCATCCCAAATTTTGGGTCACGTGAATGTCTGCACATGTACATTTTGATGTACAGACAAATTGTTTTTTTTTATGCTCTTTATGCTCTTTATGCTCTTCATTTTTTTTTTTTTGGATGCCCATCTTTCCCTTCCAATATCCGCATTCCCCCGCCAACAAAAACAAACACCCTCCCCTTAACAGAAGCCGCCATGGATGACATTCAGAGCTCTCGCACAACGCAGGCTGATGACTCTCCCTATCTTTCAACTGCCAGCCAACATGTTTCGATGCAAGTCCAAGAGCCTTCTACAAACGGGTCCTCTAACGAAACTGGTAGAGACCGTCTTTTGAGTCAAGAGCCGAGAGATCAAGAAAATCAGTCTCCACTTAGTGGAACAAATAATCGCTCATCTTTGCTTGCAGGTGACGGCAGCAGCGAATTGCAAGACCTGGATGATGATATGGTATGATATAGTGCAAAGAAGAGCAATTGAGTGACAGTGACAAATTATTTCGTTGCAAGTAATAGATATTATTATTATCGAGAGATGTTTTCAGTTAATATTGAGTATTTTTTTTGTATGTTTTTTTTGTAGATGTCGCCTTCTAGGCGCAGATCGCCCTCGATCTCTTTAGGATCATGTCCATTCCAAGAATATAATCATGAATCTTCGGAAGAGTTCCCAAACGGCGATACTGTTATTGTACGCCATGTCGGTCCATCTGTAAACGACATTGATGCTCGCAGTACCGGATGGGCCATGCATCGTTATCGACACCATAAGCGAGGATCTCGAGTTTCGTTAGGAAGGTCATGCCTAGGCATTTACAAATGTCCTGAACAAGGATGCGAGTTCACCAAAAGGCCTCGCGCACTGAGGGGTAGTGCGAAGAAACACGCAATACCGCTGCCAGAAAACTCGACTTGCAGCATCCATCACGACACTGTGTTGATTCATGTTCCCTGCAAGGCCATCTTGAACGTCATCCACCAGGGCAACGTCGTTAGGCTGGAACATCGTGGCTTTCACAACCATCCCAAGCCGCAAGCTCTCAGACCCGATATCGAATCCAAGAAAAAGATGGAGGAGCTTGTGAGGACAGCTCCTAAAGTCCTACCAAAACAGCTTCAGCTTGGCACCACGACAAGAGATGCAGTCAGCAAAATCCATCCTATGTACTTGAATCGGGATCGAGTGGCCTATGAGCGCAAGAGGATTTTAAAGGGCACGACGACGACGACGACGACGACGATTGGGTCTTTTTTTTCTGCTATTAAAGCTTTCGAGGATGAGAACTGTCCAGGCGCGATTCGATCACAAAGTAGAAGCAAACACAATGGACACATTTGCTTTCAAACAGAATTCATGTTACGCATGGCTGGAAAGTTGGATACCTGCATGCAAAGCGATTCACTGCATTCGTTTGTCGTCGACGAGCAGCACAACGATGATGATGTCCACTTGACACTCACTTCGACCTATTGCCCTACCATCCAGAGAACCGTACCGCTGCTGATATCTATCCTCTACGGCAAGACCCATGACCACTATCGAGTCCATTTCCAAGTTCTTTTCGCGTCTTTGCCATACAAGACGTGGCAAGAATTTATCGACAATTTTACTGGAATGACTTTGTTTATTTCAGACGCAGAACGTGTAGGGTTTGAACAAGCTCTACGTGCCCATTATCAAGTTCCCGAAATGGAGGACATCGAGTTGGAGAGGTTCTACCGATGCCGTGAAGTGCACTTTAAGCGCTCTCTGACAAAGGTTGGATGGAATGGGGCCGTTGTTCCATCTTTCGACGCATCGCGGTTCTACCATTCTGCGCTACGGCTCCTCAATCCGGATCATACACAACAAACCTTTGACAGCCTTGTCTCGGAGATACGGAATGAATACCCAAAAACAAAAGGGTGGTTCGACTGGTACTTGAATCCATCTCGCGGAAAACATATTTTTCCAACTTTATGCGATGCTGCTGACGACGACGAAGTCTCCACCCTATCGAGGAATACGAATGCACAAGAGACTTTAGGAAGAGACTTTCAAAGACAGGCGGCGCCCAAGAAAAAATTATCCATCCCTGAAACGTTCCAACACGCATTCCGCTATATGGCGTTGATCGAAACGGACTATGGATTGCAATCTCAAAGTGTTTCGGTACGCGACGGTCGCAGGAAAAGAAATCGTATGGATGCTTCACCTCTTCCGCCAGCAACAGATCTCGAAGAAATGGCTGGTATAGATGAGCCCTCTTCGCCTATTCTACCAGCAAGCGATCCTGTGAATGACGGTGTTAAAGAGGTGGGCGAGATCGAGATCAAGCCCAAGCCCAAGAAGGTGCGAAAAAGAAAGAGGCACCCAAAAGGGCTTTCAATAGGCATCGTCACGTTAGATGGTAAATTACCAATTTGCAAAGGATGTGGTCAGGCCATAGATCGTGGGGCCCAACGACTGCTATTCACTACCAAGGGCAACACAACATGGTCTTACCACCTCAGTGAACTTTGTATCGAAGGATTGGCGGAGGAAGAACGAGAAAAAGCAAAGTCATTTTTCACATCTTGATCAAAGAACACGTAGGCATTTGAATGGTGTGTACATGTCTGTACATGATTTGTCTGCACATCAAATGTACATGTCAGACTTTTCGTGGGATATTCAATCATAAAAAAAGGGTCGCGAGAGATGACATCAAATAAATTTTTTATTTTCAAGCAGTCTACAGACGGTCTTTGTGTGTGTGTGTGTGTGCTGTTAGCACATGCGGAGGAGGCAAGGTGTTGGTCATAACTATACAGACCTGCGATGGTGTTGGGCTATATACAAAATGATTGAAAAAAAGTAAAGAAAGAAAAAAAAATCGCAGGATAGGAGGGTGTATGTTCATCATTCTGGTAGCGATATGCAACCGGGGGGGTTGATGACAGCACGAATCTGGGACATGGCTTGACACCTTTTTTTTTTTTTTAGAATCCAGACTCGGCCATGACATTCTTGATCTTGTGGTGCTTCGCCATGCCACTCTGAAGCAATCGCTTAGCTACATCAATCTCTGAAGCGACCTTGGTTGGTAACATTGGCACAGCAGGGGTGTCTTCTTTATGCTTCTTCTTGCCCAAGCTTAACAATCCAATGCTCTGTTTACGGCCCTTGGTCAAAGACCCTGATGAGGATGCGCCTGAAGACATCAATGGCGCCGAAGAGCCGGACGAGCCTGCAGAGACGCCTTGGTGCTCCAGCACACGCTCTGCCATCTGAATGCGTTTGGCCTCACCACGCTCTCCAACCCATTCATGTAGGATGTGGCGACATTGATCCTGGGCCACCCTGGAGCTGCGACTCTCGCTCAATGGGGCCTCAACTGCATTTAAAGCATAGGCCAAACTCCGTGGATCAGAAGAGGCAAGGTCAGTCAGGAGAATGAGTTTCATCAGATCGACACGCAGGTAGCGCGCTGTCATGCCCAACGCATTGCCCTCATTCATTGACTCGATACTCAAGTTCGCCTCGCCACGATCGCGCAGCAGAGAGTATAGCTCCGACCCAGCGACAGATGGTCTATCGCTAAGGAGTGCATTCTTGAGGTACTTGTGGAAGGGTGTGAGACCGCGGCTGTCCTGGTCGTTGACACTCAAATGGCACTCAAACATCAAGAACTTGGCTGCCTCGAGAGCGGTCTGGTAGTTGGTCGCGTGCTCGAGAAGGATATGAAGCGCACTTTGTTTTGTCAATGTCGTATTCAAATGCATAGTGGCGCCGTGTCGCTTGAGTAGAGTGAGGATGGCCATGAGGTTCTCTGGTTGATAATAACACGCAACATGGATAGGTGCAACTTCGGCCAGCGTCGAATACGCGGGCAGAGGTACGCGTGCATCGGGACTGGTGCCGGTTGAAAGAATATACCACTCTGTCAAATCTGTGTTGCCCTCCTGGCATGCCTCCCAAAGGTTCTGGGGGCTGCGTCGTTTGGGTATCGCGTCGTACTTATTTCCATCAAGGGAGCTGACTGAGGACAGGGCTGAAACACGTCGAGAGTCTCGCGCTGGGATCGCAGGACCACCATTGCCGCCACTGATTCCGGTACCGTTGGAGGATGAGCTGGAGCTGCTACTGCTACTGATCGACATGGATCTCATGGATGGCGCAATGGATGAGACAGCTGACATTTTACGTCGCTGAGGAACGGGTGGGACGATGGGTGCGGCGCCTGGGGGTGGTGGTGGTGAGGAGAGATAGTCAGGTTCTTTGGGTGAGAGCAACAATTCTCTGGACCGGATGACATTACTGCTAGCGCGTTCCCGCTCCCGCTCGAGCGATTGTGACCGGCCCATGCGAATTGGTAGTGACCGGATGCTGCTGCTTGTCGAACTGTGTGAATCTCTAGATGACGATTTTGCAGAATAAACTGGTTTCTTTGCACCACCGTCTGTTGTTTTTCAGAGAGAGAAGAGAGAGAGAGAGAGGGAGAAAAAAGAATTGTTTTGTTAGGATGACGCATTTCATGGTTGT